TCACTTGCTTTCTCACATTAATTTTTGATTTCAACAATATTAGAACCAAATTTTATAGGATTATCTTTCTTTCTTTCTTTCTTTCTTCATCTTCTTCCTTTTATTTTTTATTTTTTTTTTCATTCAAGTTCTCGTTTCCAGTTCATTCCAGTTTTTGTTTATGTGCAAATTTTCAAACCAAATTTTGTATTTGATAAATAATTGATATAGACAAGTCGTGAATTCGTTTAAAAAACCTAATCAAGTAGATCCCATTTAGTCCATTTTTGGTTCCGCTACAAAATTAGATTAAAATCTAAAAAAGTTAACAATAACTTTTAATCACATATTCTACGAGATCCACAACTTTTCGACCGCATATTATCTAAATCAAATATGGGCTAAACAATGGAAAGAAAAGGTCCATCATCTGTTAAATGGCCACACCTATCGCACTCGTATAGGCTGACTGTTTAATCATGGGCCCAAGCCCACAAACCCCCATAAGAGTTCTAATTTCGACATAACTCGACGCCATTAGCAGTACTCGTCTCTCGTCACATCAATTATGTGAGAGTTCATGAGTAGAAAGGGTTGCTACCACTCACGAGTCTCAAATTCGGGCAATGCTCCGCATCTTGCAAAATACAATCTACGTATCTCTTCAATTCACAACACAAAATCTATATAAAGACGGTTTACGATAGTTAAAATTTGTTCTAAATGAACTATTACTAATACATACACACTTAGCTCTTGTTTGTTTTCAATTTTTCTGTTCAATTTAAATTCATTTTCTGACCATTGCTCCACTATCAGCCGTGATTTTTTTACTTTATATCTCACATTGGGTCCCACGTGCTGGCAACAAATGGTCAAAAAATGCATTATTTTCTTCAAATAATTGGAAACAGACAGGTGCTTAAGGGTGAATCTAGGTTGTTTTTAGTTCATCAGTGTGCTTGACATGTAAAAGAACATTTATGGACTATAAAATTAGAAGGTAGAAAATTAAGGAATTCTGTGTAAGGGTCTGCACCATAAAGTTAGGGATTGTTTGACAAAGTTTTTTATAAAAGTTAATAAATTTTAATAAATGTATGAAGAAAAATTGATAAAAATTGTGAATATTATAACATATGTGATTATAATTGAAGTTTGATCAGTTGATAGAAGTTTTAACAAAATTTTATTAAAAAAGCACTTAGCCTTGTTTGAGCCATATTTCTTTAGAATAGAATTTATAGAAAATAACTTTTCGAAGAAATTGTGATTAAAAAGTAGGGAGAAATTTTCATGCAAAATTATCTTATTGAAAGAGTACAAGAATGAAAATAAATTTGGGCAGAATGAGTATTAAAAATGGGACTCAAACAAGAACTTAATAAGACTACCGTAATTTTAGAAACTTAAAAATTTTACTCGTAAGTAAATAAATTTATTCATCAAAATTAAAAAAAAAATCAACTTATTGGGAAGTAAGAAAAGAATTTCTATCAAATAAGTAATTTTTTTCCGAATAAGCGAATAGTAAATTATCTGTAGTCAGCTCTTTAAAAAATTATGTTTGAAAGAGTAAATTTATTACATATTTGGAGGTCCTATTATGAACATATTCAAGTAATATTAATGATTTTCGGGGTAATGAACAATATTTAAATTTTTTTTAAAACATATTCACAATTAAACAATATTATTAACATGTTGATTTTATTATATTAGATAATATTATTAACTTAATTTTAAAGCAGTTATTACATTTTCATTCGATATGATTATCCAAAGTTTGTTCAATCAATCAAAACCACCTAATCCCGGCGGCTCCACCTTCGAGACATCGGACCTACAGCGATTAAATGGACCACAAGTTGTTAGCTCAACCAACAACACTTTGGACAAAAAAGTCAAGATGAGTATATGTTTGGGACCATTTGCTCCAACGATCGTGATGTTTGTCCCGGCTTAAATTCAGGTAAAAAACAGGGTGCCTATTTGGCTTCGATTTAAGCCCGACCAAACAGGTTAATTCTTGTTCCAATTCTTCATCCTAAAATGAAAATAAATTAAATATCTTGTACTTTAATATCTAATTATTATTATATAATTAGCACAACTATAATCATCTTCCGTCTGACAAAAACAAATAACTTTAATTCATTAGCGTATGCAATCTAAAAAAGTATTTTAACGAACAAGAAAAATTCATTTTATATTTAAAATTTAATTTGCTTAGGATTCATTTACACCATCGTCAACATGTACATCATTATTAACATATGTAATCGACAATATACAAGAAATGCATCAATTTCTCTTCCGATCCGAACTTTCTAATGTAGAAAGGACTTTATATTTGTTGACTTGCATAGGAGAAAGTTTAAGGTAGTGGGGTCCCATTGATGAATTTTCGTGTGACTTTTTGTGGAACGGCCAAATAATGAGTTGTAGATAATTTGTAGAGTGCGACGTATAATTGAAAAGTAGAAAAGAAAATTCGTATTAATTTTAAAGTTTAATCAGGATTCGAGGTATAATGGTAGGTTTTGGAATATGTCACTAGCAAGATTGTTATTCAGGCAAATTTTATTATTTTTCCTCAAAAAGTTAACAAAAAATAAAATGGAGGAAATACATGTGTGAGAACTAGTAGCCCTAATCAACTCGACAATCTGATATTGAGACACATCTAGAAGAATTTACAATTTAAAGTATTTTAATATATTTTAAAGAGTCAAATTCCGCTCAAATTATATCTTATATTTTAGTCAATTTGACAAAACATCGTGAGCTTCGCCTTGAAAGGGCTAGACTATCCAATATACCCAAGAGCCATAGTGTTCAATTAAATTAAAAAAAAAAAAAATGTATTTCGGAAACTGAAATAATTGAGAATAAATCGAAAATCAGTTTTATTATATGCAAAGAGTTGAAAAATGAACATTTTAAGTCAAGTCAAGAACTGATCGATTGACCTCAAATTTTTGAAAAATGAGCATTTTAAGTTAAGTCTAGCCCCTATTTGTTTTCCATTATTTGTCATCAAAATGAAAATATCACAATTATCCATCACATCAAGCCATCATATTTGACTTTTTATTTTTTGTGTGGAACCGTAACGATTATATTTTTCATTCTCATTCTTACATTAATGTGGCTCAAACGGGCCTTAATATATTTTAAATACTGATTGGAACTTTTGTTCTAATTCAACTATTTGATTTATCTTTTCCAAACGTCTACTTGTACCCATTTTCAAAATATCAGGAAAAAAAAAATGGATAGATCATTTCAAGTTTAAAAAAATAGTTGAACATAAAGACCCAATTCAATTTCATTCGTTGATTGATCAATACGTGTACGCAGATCCTCAATTCATAAGCATTAATGAAAATGATTATAAACTTTTTTTTTCTTTAAAATTATGTCAACTATTTTCTTACCATTATTTTACATCCACACATCCTCTTCCACCTCATCCTAACCCCGCTCCTTGTCCACTTCATTAATTTTCTTACATATCTATGATTTATCGATTTGAATCATTCGATATCTACTTGTATGGATTTCCTATAATTATTATTCAGCATATTTTCTTAATAATTTCTTGAGTTTCAAGAAAAAAGGAGAAATGGGATCCATTTTTAATAAAGATGAAGTCAACCTTTTAGTATAAAAAATTCTTGAAGGAAATTCTTTTGTAAGCCATGAAACAACTCTCTTTAAAGAAATCTTCTTAATGTGTCGGTGATATTATTTCTAGAGCATTGTTTAGAAGGATTGATACATATTCAACTGTATTAATTAAAAACTTAAAACAAATGAATAAAGCCACTTGTCCATATTTAAAAACGGGGAGGAAAAAGACAAACTAATGTGTTAAAAAATAATTGGGTATTTTTGTTTTAATTTTTTGAGACTATCCAATCATATATCGACACATGTCCCATTTGCATTCGTGGGTTGAAAACAACTGTTTATCTACTCTATCCCAACTGTCCGTGCCAAATTAATAGAAAAAGCCAAAGATATTTCTGTATGGAATGGGACCCAATACTTCAGAAAGGAAAGGTTTGTTTGAAGAGATCATGTTAGAAGTACAAAATATGATACAAAATGGTTTACAAAATTCACAAGTGGTGCCTTCTTATTGGAGGGGCGGCTGGCCCCACTGGCGCCCCTCCAATAGGGGGGCGCCACTTGTGGATTTTGTACAAGAAGAATGATCCTTGTTTGAAGAAGCTTAAAAGTTGATGTTCAAGTCAATAAACATGTATTTTTATCTTTTGTATGGGATTCATAACAGCTATATTTTTCATTTTCATTTTCACAATAATGTGACTCAAACGGGGGCATAATGACTCAATTGTCCGAATTTCGTCCGACTAATCTAGAGGAGTGATGGCCTTCCCCTCAATTCGTCACCCGAATAAATTCGAATGCGGTCACAGCTTATATATAATTGGACTAGACATTCGGAATGCGATTCTCCTCCCTGTGGACATTTCTTCACGACGTATGGACGAGACCCTGGAGGGGGGACGGAGCGCATCATAACTTTGTCTTCACATGATATCTACCTTCCAACTGCTGCGGAAATTCTAACCTCTAATACTCAGTAGAAAACCCTTCTGTTTTACCATTGCGCCGTGCTCGTGGGGCAAGTTACTTTTATAAATTGATAGCATTTTGATGTGATTTGTGTTATCATATTAATATATAATGGTAATAATTCGTCTATAAAATCTACTCAAGACTCTATTCATCCTCAAGCTCAAAATTTTGTGCTCAAGTCATGATTAAGAGGCATGTTTACCTGGAATCGGAGTTAACGGAAATTGAAAAGTTAAGTGCGGTAACATAGTGACTAGATGTTCAGTGGTTTAATTGGGATAAATTAAAGACATATGACCTAATTGAGATTTCATTAAAAGTCCCGGGACCGAAAATGAAATTAACAGCATGTCTTCAATCTCATCCAGAACAGTACCATGTAAAATTCTGTTTTCCTATATATACACCACGCAAACACTGAAGGATAAGGTATCAGTGAGACTGCAAACCTAAAAATTCAAAAAAGAAAAGCAAAAAAGAATGAGTTGTGCAATAGTTCGCTTTAATTTCTGCTCAAACCCCAGAAATTGCACCCCTGGAAGTTTTTCAAGCATTTCCTTCAGTTCCCAGTTGACAAATTCCAGGATTCAGTTCAAAACTCCATCTGGGCTACCCAGAAACAGAGGGTGCAGAGCCAGTTTGAAGGCATTTCATGCTCCAAACAGTTTTTATGATGTGTTGGGAATTGAAGAAAGTGGGACAATTTCTGATATAAAGAAAGCTTATAAACAACTGGCAAGAAAATATCATCCTGATGTGTCTCCACCAGACCGTGTCGATGAAAACACCAGGAGATTTATACTGGTTAAGGAGGCTTATGAAACCCTTTCTGATCCACACACCAGAGCGTTGTACGATCAAGATTTAGCTAATGGATTGGGCTTTAATTTCTCTGCTGGAAGAGGATATGAGTTTAACCAGGTAACTAATTTTTCTTATTAATTCAGAAGTTATGAATCTTGTGAAAGAAATATACTGGATTTCTTTTTTAATTATTATTTTTCCATCTGAAACAGAGAAATGGAGAGTGGAAAATGAGGTGGCAATCTCAATTGAATGAATTGAAGCAAAGAAAAAGGGATTCAGGAGGAAGAATGACATGGGGTGCTCGAATGCGTAGTCGAAGATGAAATCCCATTTTTATTTTTATTTTTTATCTTAGATTTAATTAATTACAATAGGATAATTTATGCTTTTTATTTTAGTTTTTGCCAATGTATATTCCATCTTTTCTGTTCTTACTAATTAAATATATTACCAATCACTTCCTGCTCCACATATGCATTTTAGCTATTCACAGTTTGAATCAGTAAAGTGTTTTATGGTATTTTTAGCATAAAGAATAAAATAATACAATATTAAATTTGACCATTAGACTGGAATCAAGGACGGATCTAGAATTGGATCTAAGATCGGGTTACTACGCGAGAAAATTTTTTTTTACACATAAAAACTGATTTTTTATTAAAATAAAAATAAAAAATACCTTTAAAAAAAACTCTTGGCCTGAGTGGGCTGGGGAGCCCTCCCCGCTTCCCCTAAATCCGTCTCTGACTAAAATTATGCTACAAGTACGGAATAGTTTCACAAGTTTTTTCTACAAAATACATGCGGTGCTGTGTGAATGGACGGTTAAAAAAATTGAATTCATTTGATTGCACTTCTGTTTTTTTGCTTTACTTTTTGTATAAAAGTTTCTTGAGCAACTTCAAACAAAACACTTTTAGGGTTCAAACATATTCAAAAGTAGTTTCTTAATGTTAAAAGAACTTTTTAACTTTTCAAAAGTCTTATGAAATGGACCTTGCTTAACTTAGATAACACGAAGCAAAAATGCACGACTTTGCGGCAAGGGTGAACTTAGACTTTTTATATTGTCAGGTCAAAAATTAAGATGTAATTTTTTTATAAACATAATTACTAATGTAAAAAAAGTCAACAAACTATTACAATTGTATCCTATACAGTTTGATAATTTGAAAATATCGCATAATAATATCATTATTAATATTATCAAATGAATTTTACTATTTGTATAGTTTTGTTTGCCACCTCATTGAGAAATTTTGAGTTGAGGGCAAGTAAATTAAATTGAATGTAGGAAGTAAATGAATTGGAATCAATTTCAAATTTAATTTAGGAAGTAAATGAAATGTAAATGTAATTCGAAAGTAATTCAAATTACATTTAACATGTAACAATCCTAAAATTTTAACATCATACTCCATGTAAAATTTTCTAATAAAATGATGCAAATTATATTGACGAATTTGTTGTGCAAAAATTTAAAAAAAAAATACGAGTTAGACGTTTAACTATTTTTATATTCGTTTGGATCATTCAATGTGATTAGGATATAGTTCTTGAAATGAGTTTCTAAATGACATGGACGATTTTTGTGGAATTGACTAATGTACGATCGTCGACAAATTTTTAAAGTTAGCATATTTTCGAAATTCTTGAAATACTAGTTTGAAGTAGCATATTTTGACACGCCGTAAATTTTGCTACAATTGATTGTTTTGTACGCCATTAACGAACAAAAAATTAGATCGTAAATACTTCGAAATGGTACTAAAAAATGTAAGGTTTCAATTTCAATTGACATCCCGTAAATCAAAAAATTGTGGTCACTTGACCCATGTGACAGTTGGAGTCCAACGTAGGCATGCGTATGGATAACCTAGTTCTTATCCAGTTCCATTTCTGAGACCCCACATATCATTCATGGGACTGAAACTGCGTTTCTTATCCAGGATAGTGCCAACAACAAATTTTACTTGAAATTTTGATTTACAATTCAATCTGTGAATCCTTGCCCAATTTTTTCTTTGAAATTTTTATTTTACCTTAACAAACTGGTCCCCAGTACTTTGTTTAAAACCAGCAAATTCCCAGTGGCCGACACCAGTCGGGACAGATTTGTACTTTTATTACCTTATTATTATTAAAAAAAAAAAAGGTTGAACCCTAACCTTAAGGGCCCCCACCGATCTTGCCTTGGGCCATCGTGGAGGAGGTAAATCGCAGGATGTACCTCCCAGGAGCCAGGGTGGAGAGCACGTGAATAGGCCAAGCCTGTTAACCCATATGGTAACTCCCGCTTGCAACAAAGTTAATTCCACTTTGTGGGGAATCGAACTCTGCACACTGTCGCGCTCAGCCCTATCCGCCCTCTCCTTTGCCACTGGGAGATATGCCCTGGAGGCTCCTTATTATTATTAATTACTACAGCTGCTATATCTCAACTTACTGCTTGGCTCTTCCAATGGGCCAATAATTCATTTGCCACTCCATTGTCTCTCGATCGAGAACCAATTATCGGATCAACACGCACCTCGCACATCTGATACAGCTAAGCGTATTAGGAACTGACTATTCTTTTATTATGGTGCCGACTCTCACTGTCCATTGCGAACTCACCTTTGATATATTTGTTCGTTGACTTGCGTCTGATTGCTAGTTGATGAGGCAATAATTTACCAAAGGCAATGATCAGTAGTTGATTCGAGAGGATGATTAACTACACTGGGAGACACGGCCCAGATTCCTACGGGATTTACTTTTTAAGTTATACTAAGTCCTCTACAATGTATTGAATAATTGTCATTGATTTACTATAATTTCAAAATCATTCTTCCCAAGAACTTCAAAATTATTTCCACCGTAATTTCCAGATCGTTTCTTTGTTGTCGCTGTACTCTAACATCATTCTTTCATTTGTCATTAAACATCGTTTGAAAAATTAACAATTTCATTTGTCACATCGTTAAAATCATGAACTTCTGAACAACAGACGAAATGACAAATGTGACATCTAAGGTTCGAATTATAGTAATCGAAACTATTTGAAGTTCAACGACGACAGAAAAACACCTTTAAAACTAAAATAACCTTCAACATTTTTAACCCTATCGAGGTAAAAATAGATACAGAGAGCACAGACCATTCAATATAACCAATAGTTATCATCATCTTTGCAGTGCTAAAATCATTAATGAACCGTGGCAACTTGCGAGTCGTTTTCATAGAAAAGACAAAAGATCTCTCTGGATGGAGTGTGGACCGCACACTTACGTCAAGAAAATGGAAATTGGAAACTTTATCCATTATTTTCTTGGAACCATCTTCATGCCTGTGATTCATGCCGATTGATAACATTAATCCAAATTTGGTTAATATTTATAAATTGTTTATAATTGTATAAGTCCTTTTTTATTCATATATTTTGAGGAATTCATTCACTTATTCATCACTCATATTTATTTATTTATTATTTAAAATTTTAAAAAACACCTTCCATCATATTTTTAAATAATTCAATGTGTTACACACTCATTTACAGTATATTTAATAGTATTAAAAATGAAATAGTAACTATTTTTTTTATGTTATAATGTTGTCATCATTTTGCATTATGAACTTCCTTAGCAGACAATTAGGATCCATTTAACAAGATTTTTACTTTTTCTTTTGCTTGACATCATTCCAAAGGTTGAAAATAAACTTCCAAAAGAATTTTTTTTTTTTTTTTTTAAGAAGAACTTTAGAGGAAGATATATTGTGCCTATTTTTTTCTAAAAATTATTTTAATTAAAAGAATTGCTGTTACAAAATTAATCAAATAAATATAAAAGTAACTTAGTATTCATAAACTTATTTTGATTTTTCTGCAGTCATATCAAAGGAATCTTAAAAGTCGGTGCAAATGCATGTACTAAAATTCCAGGTGAGCCCCATAAGGTCCTTCTTACCCAGTTTCCCAGATCCCACAAAATATGTTTATTATCCCTAGTATCCAATGTCATCTTGCGTCAAAATATTAAGAGATTGTTTGGTACAGTTTAAACGTCAATTAAAATTAATTTTTTGATCGTTATTTCACTATTCCAATTATTATTTTTGAATTCTTCTCGCTCTAACGATCAAAAAATCAATTAACAAAATCACAACTAAACAATCACTAATTTTTTTGTTAATATCAAATGAAATTCAGCAAATCACTTTGATGTTATAAAGAACAAATATTTTGCTTATGTTTGGATGAAATTATAAGTTACTAAAATTATAATGTAAAAAAAAAATGGTGAATAAATATATTAGTAGTTGTAGGTAGTGTTCTAAAATTTGCACATATATTTCACATATACTTGCATAAGTTCGATACTTTTTCGAAATCCCTCGCATATGGAGTATGCACGTGATAAATCAGTCAACTCATTTTCTTGACCGCATATACACGCTTAAACCTCAAACTACGCACGCATTTTGTGTTAAAAATCGTATCAAAATTAGCCTAACAAAATTTAACGCATTTTTATAACTTCAGAAAAGCAAATTGAGCACAATAAACATTAAATTAGACCAAATCACCAAAGCCCTTTAATTATGTACAACAATATGTAGGATTTTGATATTTAGAAAAAAAAAAAATTTAAATCATAATAAATTTTTCATAGATTTATAAACTATCTATGCTGAACCGATCCTCCTCCTTTGGTCTTTCTTTAGTCTCACAAGAAAGTGATGCTAGTAATGAATGATTGTTGATGGTTGTGATGAGAAGGACGAGGTTAACAACGATACATAAACGATACATATCCTACCATCTTAAAATGTATTAAAAATCACAAGTTGAATGAGGGAGCCCGATGAAAATAATTTTGCATCAGATGACATAAAAGATTATTTGGATGAAGAGAAGTTTGAATTGGAATTCGATAAAGAGTTAGCAAATATGTATTTTTTTTTTTATCAGTCGATGTTCGTGTCTAATCTAATCATAAGAATTGATTACCAAAGAATTATAGTACATATGATATTAAACATTATGTTTTTGTTAAAAAATTGAAGAATAAGTAATTTTGTGTGTGTGTGTATATATATTACAAATTTGAAAAATACATATAAAGCTTAAAAATTGCATTATTTTTATATTTATTGGTTTAGAATATTTAAAATAATATTAAAAAAATTGATAAATGTTTAATTACTTATATGCTTTGCATAAACACGTATATTTTTGCAATACTTGATACTTGATCAAAACGTATTGTCACACATTATGTATTTCAGAATATTGGTTGTAGCCTTGTAGGTGCTGCTAATCCATTGTTTGACTCCCTCTAAAATAAAATAAATTATATCTCATACTCATTTCTAATAATATATTCACACAATAACATATTTTTGCATGTAAATCTAAAATATTTTCTCACTATTTAATCATGCGTTCCTAAAAAAAATTTTAAAAAATCACTATTCAAAACATTATTT